TATATATAATGGTGTTTTTGCACTGATGCCACATTTGTTCATTTGCTGCAGATTAATCTTTTGAAATTTTGTCCATAAAGTGTAAAAATAAATCTATTTATTTAAAAGAAGAAACTTATTTAAATACTTATTTAAATGTATTTATACTTATTTACTTATTGGTTTAACTTATTTTATTAAATGAGCTCCTGGGGAAGTACTTTTAATTTGTGTAGAATTAATTTCATTAGATTATCAAAAATAGACATTACTAGTTTATTATGCAATACATAAAAGCTGGCACTGAATTTCTTGCAAAAAATAATTATAATTGCTATAATTATAGCAGTATATACTGTCACTGTGAAATAAATTTAAATAAAAAAATTCTAAATAAATGTAAATTAATGAATAAATTCAAATCAATTTAAATTAAATTAAATTCCTATTGTGATATTGTGAAAAATGATTTTCTGAACAAGTATTTTTGTCTTGATTTTATTGTATTTATATTTTTATTGTATTTAAATATTTTTAAATCAAGATACATTTACTTGAGAAGCTAAATTACTTAAGATATGAAGTATATAATAAAGAAGTATATGTAAAGATATAATAATAAATATCTGCCAATGACATAAGAAAAATAAAACTTGTTTTCCCTTTGAATTAACTTTATTTGTCTTACCCCATTCGCAGATTGTTTTTTCTTGGTTTAAGCATTAACTCACATAATTTTACTGTAAAACAAGTAAAAAAAAATATTGAATATGTCAACCACAGAACTGCTGCTTATTGAATTTATTAGATAATATCAGAAACATAATTCCTACAGTAATTGTCTTAAAAATGGCAGCTGAAATACAAAATAGTGAAGAACTATATTTCGGAGTGAATGGCCATCTGGCAGCTGTGTGAAATTGAAAGTAGCAAATCCTTCTGTGTGAGCTAAGAGGATTATGTGAGAACACTTTGACATGCAGTTCCACCAATTTGATAGTAAAGTGACAATATTGTAGAATTTTGTTAGTTAGAAGGAGTTTAGGAAAGTTATAGCAGCCTTTTTCAGTATTATATTTGTTTTTGTGACTCCAGGGACTTGGACGCCAGGGCTAAAAGCGAGCGATACCGGGCGCTTTTCCGCCTGCCGAAAGACGAGAAATTGGACGGTCACACAGACTGCACACTATGGACCCCCTTCAACAAGATGCACATCCTTGGACAGATGTTCGTCTCCACTAATTACATCTGCTTCACCAGTAAAGAGGAGACCATCTGCAGCCTGATTATCCCGCTCAGAGAGGTGCGTCACACCAGCCGCTTCATGCTAAACTAATGACATAATACTCTAATAAGCATCAAAGTACACATTATGCACACATTAAACATTGCTTTATCCTGCATTCACTACCATGGTTTACAATCCAGTCAGTTCTTGCAGCATAAAGACATTTTTGATATCGATTATGGTGTTTTTCTTTAGAAATATGGCACATGAAATGGGTTGTGAAATGCATTTTGCATCCTTTCCCTCTCTCTTCTCGCCAGGTGACCATCGTTGAGAAAGCCGATAGCTGTAACGTCCTTCCCAGCCCCTTGTCAATCAGCACCAAAAACAAAATGACTTTCCTTTTTGCCAACCTCAAAGACCGGGACTTCCTGGTGCAGAGGATCTCGGACTTCCTGCAGCAGACCACCTCCAAAATCTACTTTGAGCGGGAGATCACGGGCAGCCTCAGCAGCTCAGACGACGAGGTGGGAACAACAATGTTTATTTGTCTATTGGTATTTATTCCTATAAATATTTATAGATTTATTATTTTAATATATATAGACAGTACTGTTCAAAAAATTGGCTCAGTAAGATTTTTTAAAGAAATTAATCGGGGGATAAATGGGATGCATTAAATTGATCAAAAGTGACAGAAAAGACAGTTATAATGTTACAAACGGTTTCTGTTTCAAATAAATGCTGTTCCTTTGAATTCTATATTCATCAAAGAATACTGAAAAAAATGTTAACGATTTGTTTATTATGTTTGAAAGAAGTCTCTTCTGCTCACCAAGGCTGCATTTATTTGAAAAATACAGTATATGAAAAATACAGTAAAAACGGTATGTTTTTACAATTTAAAATAACTGTTTTCTATTTCAGTATATGTTAAAATGTAATTTATTCCTGTGCTGCAAAGCTGAATTGACAGTATCTTGACGCGAGCATGTGGCGGCGCTGACCCAGATCCAGCATGATGATGTCATTACATTCCGGATCTGGGTCAGCACCGGCGCCGCCACACGCAAATGCGGAATGAAGTCGTTATTTTTGTTTTCTTTGCACAAGTAAGTATTCTCATAGCTTCGTAACTTTACAGTTGAACCACTGATGTCACACGGACTACTTTGTCGATCATCTTGGTACTTTTCTGGACCTTGAACGTGGTAGTTACCTTGCTGTCTATGGGAGGGTCAGAGAGCCCTCATATTTCATCAAAAATATCTTAATTTGTGTTCCGAAGATGAACGAAGGTCTTACGGGTTTGGAACGACATGAGGGTGAGTAATTAATGACAGAATTTTCATTTTTGGGTGAACTATCCCTTTAAACGCAGTTAAATCACATGACCTTGAGTGGCTTCTTGCTTTTAGAAAACAATAGGAAGACACCAATGTTAAGTCAATAGTTACATTTGTACTTTAAAAATAATATTAATTGTCAGTGTAAACAAGTCTTATGCGACGATGCATAGTTCTGGAGCTTACTTATTGGCTGTTTACAAACAACATAGCATCTTGATCCAGTGTTATGTTAGTATCAGTGATGTTTTTGTTAATATTTTGAATTAGGTTTTATTTTTATATTTTGTATCCATTAAAATTTTTAGTAATTTTGTTGCGTTTTTGTCATTTTTATTATTTTTTTTTAAATGTCTGTATAATTTTTTTAATTTAATTTAGTTTTATTTTATTTGTTTTAGTTTATTAAGTTTTAATTATTTTAGTATTTCAGGTTGAACTAAACAAAAATAACCTGAACTTTTTTTTTTTTTTTGCCTCAACTAGCCGAAATAAATTTAGGTTTTTATATATTTTATTTTTATTATAAAATATATATTTTTAAAATTTATTTTAATATTTTATTTCAGTTATTGTTTTATTTCAAGTAATAAAAATGTTTTTAGTTTTAGTTAAAGATGGTGCGGTTACAGGTGTTTGTTTATCGGCATTTGAATGCACCTCATCCAGTAAGAGTTCAAAGGCTGAAGTCAGATGCAGGTTATTGTGTTTGTTGTGGTTAAAGCAGATACTTCAGTAGGACACACAGGAAGTGCACCTTATGAGAAGACCGTTCCTTCTGTTTGCTGACCCTGCAACAAATGACCTGAAAATCTGCTTATCCAAGTCATTTGCTTTAAAATGACTAGGCTTTGTTAATTTGGTCACACAGTGTCAGGGCATAAATCTTGCAAAGATGTATGCATTTTGCATTCAGAAGAGTATTCTAGTCATTTTTGGAGGGATTTTGCTCGCAAGATTGTCTAATCTAAAGCTTTTATATACAATAAATGCACCACATTTTAAATTTCAGAATAGAACGTTAATGAAGTCCACGGTTCACTGGCTTCGCTTCTTTGCCAGCTCTTATTTTCCAAGTCATAGTTTCCCACGTCAGCACTTCTGAAGTTGAAGTCGAGACAGCAGTGATGAGACGCTCTCTTTACACTCGCATGTTTTCAGGCTAAAGAGTTTCTGAAGGAGCAGGCCTGGAAGAATCACTTCACCGAATACGGCCAGGGAGTGTGTATGTATCGCACAGAGAAGACCAAAGAGCTGGTGCTGCAGGGCATCCCAGAGAACATGAGAGGAGAGCTCTGGCTCCTGTTTTCTGGTGAGTCATGCATCCCACTACTGGCTCACAGACAGCAGCGAAAAAACAGCTCTGGATTCAAGTAATAAATAACTAACCAGATTATCGAGCATAGTTATTATTAGTTATTATATATTTGGAATCACCATGACTCATGAAAAAAAAAAAATTCAAATATTTTTGTTTTGGATCTGAAAATGTCATCTAAATGGTTTGTATAAATTTGATCTGTTGATTATTTGATGGGTTGGTTGTTTATCTGTATGTTGGTGTGTACAGGGGCGATTAACGAGATGGCCACTCATCCCGGTTATTATGAGGATTTGGTGGAGAAGTCGATGGGGAAATATAATCTGGCCACAGAGGAGATCGAGAGAGACCTGCACCGCTCTCTTCCAGAGCATCCGGCCTTTCAGAACGAGATGGGCATCGCTGCCCTGCGTCGAGTCCTCACTGCGTACGCCTTCCGCAACCCCAACATCGGCTACTGCCAGGTATGATGCACAGCAACACACCGTCTGCAGTGAATGCACCCACAGCACGATCATAATGCCGGTCTGTCGTCTTCTGCAGGCCATGAACATCGTGACCTCCGTCCTGCTGCTGTACGCTAAAGAGGAAGAGGCCTTCTGGCTCCTGGTGGCCTTATGTGAGCGCATGCTTCCCGACTACTACAACACCAGAGTCGTAGGTGAGCTCCAGGATCATCCAGCTTCTTACGTCCCACCAAATGACACTAGGGCCCTATGATTTCCTCCGTGTGGAAAAATGTGAATGGAATCATTGAATGCTGTCATAAAAATGGAATTTACAGTATAACACAGTATATCACGGAATTTGGAAATTTTTCATAAATGAAAGTAAGGCTGTATAATGAATCACATCGCCATATGGACAAGTATCTGAATATTAAACCGCAAAAGACTGCTATGTAATATGAAGTCTGCGCGTATCTGTAATCTGTGTGAATGAGTGGCGCAGTTTCGTCTACTACACACTACACACGTGATGCTCGCAGTGTTTTCAGCGTCTGTCGTCTCACTATATGAGGACATGAACGCAAACCTCATCTCCAGAGCTGCTCTGAGAGTCACTTTAACAGTATTTCACCATTTCAATTCATAAAACTATCGTCAGATACACACAAAAACTCAAAGGTCTTAAAGGACATAAATATATTACAAAATAAAATAAAAAAGGGCAGAATTTTTATTAAACTGAAGAAATTGTGACATAAATATATTACAAAATAAAATAATATAAAATGGACTCACCATGAACCAATGAAAGCATTTTGTTTCACAAGTGTTATTGTATAGAATGTAGTTCTCAAAGTAATAATAATAATAATAATGAAGCTTTTTTAAGGGAGTTACACAATTCCTTTCTTGCATTTATTCCATGTTTTTATTTTAATAGTAAACCTTTGTTGTGCAGCAGTTTGTTTGACAAAAAATGAAAGGAATTGATTCATTTTCATCTGATTACATTTTAAAAGATTAATTTAAATTGTTAATGTTTTATGCCTTCATTTGATTACCACCATTTTGGATAATACATTTATATTAAATAATAAATCCAGAAAAAATTAAAACAGAATTTTTGGAAAAAAAAAAATAATAATAATATATATATATATAGCACTATTTTTGTACAAAATGAATTGATTATACATGCTTTTTGATTATTACAATTTAATTAAACCATTCAAATTAAATCCAGAAAAATTTAAGTGGAAAACAGAATTTATATGAAATGGAATTTTAGAAAAAAATAGAATGTTTTTTCATAGGGCCCTATTATTGTAAAATGTGATAACTTATCAAGTTGTTAAAGTTTAAATGGAATCTATAAAATTTTGAGTGGAAAGCACAGAATTTGGGGAAAATAAAATGGAATTTGAAATTTTAAAAATCTCAGTATTTCATACGGCCCTAAAAATATATTTTTATTCAACTTTTAATAAATTGATGTTAAATTGTACATGTTTCATGTGCAACGCAAAAATAGGAAGATCTGTCAGCACTGAGTGTGTTTGTGTGTATCTCAGGTGCTTTGGTGGACCAGGGTGTGTTTGAGGAGCTGGCTCACGTCTACGTTCCTCAGCTGTACGACTGCATGCAGGCGCTGGGTGTCATCTCCACCATCTCTCTGTCCTGGTTCCTCACACTCTTCCTGTCCGTCATGCCCTTCGAGAGCGCCGTGGTGGTGGTCGACTGCTTCTTCTACGAGGGCATCAAGGTCATCTTTCAGCTAGCGCTGTCGGTGCTCGACGCTAACATCCATCAGCTGCTGGGCTGCAAAGATGACGGAGAAGCCATGACCATCCTGGGCAGGTAAGACAACGGCATGCTTCTGAATACGTGTAGTGCACTTCATAATGAGTATGTTGTGGTATGCTGCCTAGTAAGTATGTGTAGTATTCTGCATATGTACTGTTCTGCAAAGTCATGTGTTGCGTACTTTGGAGTATTTACTGTACTACGAATTTAGTGTATGTTGCGTACTACATAGTGAGTATATAGTCTATTATCACAGTTTGTTCATGTTGCAAGGTGATTATATGCTGCATACTACGTCATGTATGCACTATACTGCAAATTTAGTATATGTAGCATACTATATAGTGAGGATATGTAGTCTGTAAGCACAGTTTATTAATGTTGTGCGCTGCAAAGTGAGTATATTCTGCATACAATAAAATGCATGCGGTATAATGCACATTTAATGTAGGTAGCATACTGCAGTATGTAGTTAATATATATAGTCTATAAGAACAGTTTGTTAATGTTGTGTGCTGAAAAGTGAAAATATGCTGCATACTACATGGAGTATACAGTACACTGGAAATTGAGTGTATCTAGCACACTACGTAGTGAGTATTCACGGTCTCTGAGCAAAATGTGTGAACTGCTAAGTGATTATATGTTGCATACTACATGGAGTATACAGGATACGGCAAATTTAGTGTGTGTCGCATACTTTATAATGTATATTGTATGTGTTTAAAGTGTACTGCAAAGGCACTATACTGTAGTATGTGTGTATATTGTGTACTACAAAGGGACTATTGTATAGTATGTGTGTATACAATGTACTACAAAGGGACTATTCTGCAGTATGCGTGTATATAGTGTACTACAATAGGACTATACCGTACTATATGTGTATCTAGTGAACTATATAGGGACTATACTGTAATATATGTGTATATAGTGTACTACAAAGGGACTATACTGTAATATATGTGTATATAGTGTACTGCAAAGTGAGTATATATGTGTGTATTTATATGCAGTAGTATACTACAGTATTTATCGAATACCAAGGTCTGTGTATGACAGTGCTGCAGTTTTGCTGACAAATGTGTGTGCGTGCTTGTGTATGTGTGTTGTAGGTATCTGGACAATGTGACTAATAAGGACAGCACTCTTCCTCCAATCCCTCATCTTCACTCTCTCCTGACGGATAACGGGGATCCTCATCCTGAGGTGGACATCTTCAAACTCGTGCGCATCTCCTATGAGGTTCGTTCATCTCAAATATACCTTGTATATTACAAAGTGTGTTTTCATGGGTTCTGTCTGTGTTGTATTGCATGTTTGCTGATGTTCACTGTGATCTGCAGAAGTTCGGCTCCATCCGGGCGGATGTGATTGAGCAGATGCGTTTCAAACAGAGGGTATCTAGTGAACTATATAGGGACTATACTGTAATATATGTGTATATAGTGTACTACAAAGGGACTATACTGTAATATATGTATATATAGTGTACTACATAGGGACTATAGTGTAAGATGTATGTATATAGATTGTACTACAAATGGACTATACTGTACTGTATATGCATGTAGTGTACTACACAGGGGCTATACTGAAATATATGTGTATATAGTGTACTGCAAAGTGAGTATATATGTGTGTATTTATATGCAGTAGTATACTACAGTATTTATCGAATACCAAGGTCTGTGTATGACAGTGCTGCAGTTTTGCTGACAAATGTGTGTGCGTGCTTGTGTATGTGTGTTGTAGGTATCTGGACAATGTGACTAATAAGGACAGCACTCTTCCTCCAATCCCTCATCTTCACTCTCTCCTGACGGATAACGGGGATCCTCATCCTGAGGTGGACATCTTCAAACTCGTGCGCATCTCCTATGAGGTTCGTTCATCTCAAATATACCTTGTATATTACAAAGTGTGTTTTCATGGGTTCTGTCTGTGTTGTATTGCATGTTTGCTGATGTTCACTGTGATCTGCAGAAGTTCGGCTCCATCCGGGCGGATGTGATTGAGCAGATGCGTTTCAAACAGAGGCTGAGAGTGATCCAGGCCATAGAAGACACCACCAAACGCAATGTGGTAATCAGACGCTCTCCGTACTGACACTAGTGTTTTATTAGCACTCCGTCAGAGGATCTGTGGCTTTTAATCTGTTCGCATTTGCCTCATCCACTGCTTTTGCAGGTGCGGACCATCGTGACGGAGACACCCTTCAGCATCGATGAGCTGGAGGAGCTTTATACACTCTTTAAGGTCAGTCACATGATGAGGTCATGAATCAGCCAATAACATTGACAGTGAGAGTGTGTGCTGTGATTTAAAGGGGTCATGTGACGTTGCTAAAAAAAAACATTTTTCAAGTATTTGGTGTAATGCAATGTGTTTATGCGGTTTAAGGTTTGAACATTTGGGTTGAACTGTTCTGCAACAGTGTTGTAAATAAAACTTAACCACTGATTTCTAGTTGTGTCCTCTTTTGGAAGACCAAACAAAGTAGTTTGGCTTTCGCAACGAAGCACACAGCGTCTCCACGACATGGCGGCAGCGGCAACAATTCTACAGCGAGAATAAAAGTTACGCATTCTTTCTTTGCGTATACATTTGGGTGGTGTTATGCAAATCTCCCACACAGTGACATAGACATGTGGGGGCGTGTTAGAACTTGCTAAAGCATTTTTAATTATTATTATTATTATTATTATTATTATCATAAATTACATTATTTTTATTGTCTTTACAGTATTTTATTGTTTTGACATTATTTGCCTATATTTAATTGTGCTTGCTAAATATTTTTAAATTATTAATATTATTATTATTATATTTAGTATATGTAGCATACTATATAGTGAGGATATGTAGTCTGTAAGCACAGTTTATTAATGTTGTGCGCTGCAAAGTGAGTATATTCTGCATACAATAAAATGCATGCAGTATAATGCACATTTAATGTATGTAGCATACTACAGTATGTAGTTAATAATAATTAATACATCTAAATTAGTTAAATAAAAAATATTATATAATATAATTAAAAATATTATGCTATTTTATCTTTTTTGTTTTTATTTATTGGTATTTTATTATTATTATTATTATAAATGTTATGATTTTTATCCTTTTATTTTCCTTTTTGTTTTACTGAGATTATTGTGGTCATATTTAATGGTGCTTATCATTTTACATTTATTATTATGATTATTATTAATATTATTATTATATATGCTATGATTCTTATTTTTATTTTCTTGTTTTATTGTGATTATTTTGGTCATATTTAGTGGTACTTACTAAAAAATTTTAATACATTTGAATCCAGCTCATCCAGCCCCATTTGTGTTACACCTCAAATCATACAGTCTGTTGAGGTAAACAATCAAAAATTTTGTTGCCTGGCAGACAATAAAAAGGATGAAACACATCGTAGGTGCAGTCACATTTAAACGTACATGCTCCATATCCGTTGACTATCCTGTGCATGTATTTATGACCATCAGGCTGAGCATCTGACCAGCTGTTACTGGGGCAGCACCAGTAACCCCATGAGCCGGCACGACCCGAGCCTGCCGTACCTGGAGCAGTACCGTATCGATCTGGAGCAGTTTAAAGTGCTGTTTGCGCTGCTCTTCCCCTGGGCCTGCAGCACGCACGCTGACGACCTGGCCCTGCGCGTCTTCCGTCTGCTGGACCACAACACCGACGCGCTCATAAACTTCAGAGAGTTCATCAGCGGCCTGAGTGAGTGTGCTTTATCATGACCAGTCCCATTGTTGAAGTTGTGATCATCTTTTCAATCATTTTGGTTAAAGATTATGAGGGCACATGCATTATGTAAAAATAATAATAATGTGCACTAGGGCTGTCAAAAAAAATTAGAATTTCGAATATTCGTCGAATTTAAAATAAAAATCCACATTCGAATGCAAAAGTGGCGCACGAGATGCGATAACGATGTAAGTGTGGTTGCATTTTTATGTTTTTTTAGCCTATCCAGTTGAAGCCACTAGATGCGGCGCTGCTGCGATGTTCATTAAAAATATTGCTGGAAAAGAGAACATCAATGCGGAGAATATCTTGTTTACATCAAAACTGAAACCAAGCCGTTCACACAGAACACATATTTTGCGCATTTTCTAGAAGGACATGTATCACTGTTGCACTCGCGTCTTGCACAAAAGAGCCGAAAGAGCACAAAATTAATGCAAGTTTAACTTTGAAAAAAAAAAACATATCTCGAGACCTTATGCCGGCGGGGGGTTTTCCCCATCCCATTGCAACTTGTGTTTTTAAATGAAAAATGTACTCTGTGTGATTGGCTTTCGGCCCTTTGTATTAAACTGAATTCATACATGATGCTGTTTTGTTTATAGTTGTTTAAGCAACTTAATTATAATTGGTTTATAAACATTATTTTAAACATTATGCACTTTTTTCACAGTCATGTTATCTATTGCTTTGAATAAACGTGCTGTTAGTAATATTTTGCTCGATGCGCCCTCTTGTGGCCTCAGGAGAGAAGCCAAAGGCTTTTCTTCACCCTAACTGAAATTATGCATTTTTAAATTCGAATATAATTCAAATTTTGATCATATTTAAGTACAAAATTCGAATTTAGTTTTTCAGCCATTTTGACAGCCCTAATGTGCACAGATAAATTATTTATGATAAACACTGCAATATTCCATAAAAAAAAATAAGAAGTCGATTTTGATTTTATGGTGACTTACCATGTATGTTTAGAAGTCGAAACGTGTTAGTGAAACTATATTATGACCAAAAAAATATAAAGTTTAAAACATTAAATATATGATCAAAATATATCATATAAATATATCAAAAGTGCATTGGGTTGATTGTTTTTGTACACATATAAAATGATTGGTTTCTATTTTAGGTGTCCTGTGTCACGGTGACCTGACGGAAAAACTCAAATTTCTGTACAAGATTCACATACTTCCAGGTAGGTGAGAATATGTGGGTGTAAAAGAGAAAATAAAATGTTTAACATTGTTAACATGGTGCAAATTATGCTGATAATTAATTCAGCTCATAATTAATACAGTTCTGGGACATGTTAGTATTTTATTTATAGTATTTATATTTATTCAGCGTTGCATATACCTGTTTTATTGTTGTTATATTTTGTGTGGTAACTGTAAGATTATTAGTTGTGTTTCTCTTTCGTGAGAGGAAACATGGATAAAAAGCAGAAATGAAAGTGAAGACGGATGTTTTGTTCTTTCTGACAAGTCTGGGTCATAATTACCCCACAAATCAAAAGAATTATCCTTAAAGAGAGATAAAGAGATCATTAACAGAAATATTACTGAAGTGTTTTGTGTCATGTATGTTGTGATTTGTATTTGCATTAGTTTGATGTTATTATCTGAATTATATTGAGCTCTAGAAGAGGCTGAATGTATTTGTTCTTCTCAGAGTTGCACCATGAGCAGGAGGAGCCCGACTCGGCGTGTGAAGCTACGCAGTATTTTTTTGAGGACATCACCCCAGAGACCTCCAGCGGTACTGCTGCATGCTCTCACTCACCACACAAAATAGGTTGTTACACCAAAATTACGGTGGAAATGATTCTTGATGCCCAGTCCAGAAACTGTGATCACTGGTGCTGATGCTTTGACCTCTCATTGACAGGCCTCGACCAAAAGAACAGAGCCGAGAAGGACGATGGTTTTGTCGGAGTCACTTTTAAAAGTGAAAAAGGTGGGAGAAAATACCAAACGGATCAGAGCTGATGTTTGATGTTGGAGAGCTGTTGAAATGTGCAACATTCTGTCTTTGGTGTAGTTAAGAAAATGCACACTCCGGATTATCGGATGTACCTGTGCCTGTGGAACCAGGAGACCAAAGCAAAGTTAGAGAACATGAAGGATCTGCCCAAACTCAACCAGGTACATCAGAAGACCAACTAAAGATACTTTATGAGCATAACTCCTATTGAAACAGCGAGATTCTCCATTCACAACCCATCAGATATGTGACCCTGGACCACAACACGGGTATATTTGTAGCAATAGCCAAGAATACATTGTATGGGTCAAAATTATCGATTTTTCTTTTATGCCAAAAATCATTAGGATATTAAGTAAAGATCATGTTCCATGAAGATATTGTGTAAATTTCCTACCGTAAATATATCAAAAATGTATTATCATTTGTAATATGTCACTTCATTTGGACAACTTTAAAGGCGATTTTCTCAATATTTAGATTTTTTTGCACCCTCAGATTCCAGATTTTCAAATAGTTGTATCTCGGCCAAATATTGCCCTATCCTAACAAACCATACATCAATGGAAAGCTTATTTATTCAGATGATGTATAAATCTCAGTTTCAAAAAATTGACCATTATGACTGGTTTTGTGGTCCAGGGTCATTTCAGAGGCTGAGCAAGACAGCTCATGAAAATAAAGCTGTTCTTTCTTCGCAGTACATTGCACGAGAGACCAGGAATGTGATTTAAGAAAGTAAATATGAGATATTTTGAATTCATGTTCACTTGAACATGATAAACTGCCAGTGGAAAATGTGTTTAAAATTTAAAACGCGTTTAAAAATTAAAAAAAATTCACTAGATAGTATATTTTGCTTTTTATATTTAAATATTTTGATTCTAATTTACAACATTGGTTGTTTAGTTGAAATAATGGTTTCTCTGATTTAAAAAAAAGTAAATACACATATAACTAATATATATCTTGTATAAGAATTAATAAAAAATATACAGTAACACAATATTATATATAATTATTTATTAATACAATTATTATTATTTATTATTATTTTTAATTTAATTGACATTTTAGATATAACTTTATATAATTCTTAGCTTTTATATATTATATAATAACATAAAAACATATAAATAGCATAGTATAGTATTATTATTATATCATTTTATTTGAATTTGTAATTTAATAAATTGACAATTTTGTAGATTAAACTATGTAATTTTATTATATAGAATATATGTTGAATATACAATTTTATATACATGTATATAATAGTATTTATTGTTATATACTTTTACTTAAATTTTTAATGTAAAAAAATATACAGCACTCTTTTTAAATATTATATAAATTACATATAATGTATTATTATTATTATAATTTACATTTTTATTACGTTTTATTATTTCTTTATTTTTATTTCTTTATTTTATTATTTTTGTTTATTTGATATGAGATTTCAAATTAAAAATCACATAGTAGTAGTAGTAGTAGTATAGGAACTAATTGGAATTTTCTGCTTGGTCATGCTGAATGTGGCTGTTGTTGAGTGTAATGACCACTAGAGGCCAGTAGAGCTGTGAGACTCTGTCATTTGCATACATTTGACTGAGGCCTTGTGTTTGAAGTCTGTGCTGTTGTTCAGAGTTCACGGCTGTAACACAGCGATGTGTCCTGAATGAAATGCCGTGTCTCTCCACCACTGACGTTTAGAGGGTGTAAGCGCAGACGTCCAATCATACGCCGGTGTTCTCTGATCGGCCCAGTACTGGAGATACTTGGCACACACATAATAACACCATGCTGTCTCAGTCAACAAGTCCTACGTCATTACCAGGCAATTTGTTTGCAAAGACTGTTCTCTCAGCTTCAAAATGAACTTTTTAGGAGCCAAATATCCTGTTTATAAATAAATAAAATAAACCTATTTACTACTTGCTAAAGCACTTTCCATCACTAACTACTTGATAAGTCAGCTGTTTATCTGTTTCAGTTATCCGCTTACCTATCAAGTATTGTTTTATCTTTAACCTTGTATCTTTTGTACTTGATCCAAGTATTGTGACACAGATCAGCAATGCGAACAGTAAAATCCCTGTACATTTGCCATCTTTGAATTAACCAATAAAATCAAAGTCTACTGCAATAGTGCAAACTCGACAACCTGCAGAGCACTGTCGCAATATAATAATGTCAGCTTCATTAATGCACTGTTTTTTTAAAACACAGAAAGTTGTGTCTGTGAAATATTAAATTTTAAGATATTAAATTGATTGGAATGCTGAATAAAGTTACAATCCTTTGTGATTTTGAGCCTCTTTGGGATGGCACCACGAGGTGTCGTTCACTTGCAGAACGCAAGCTTCTGGAGGGCGCATAAGTCTGAACTAGCGAGTTTAGGTATATTGGTGCAGAGCCAATGGTTGTCTTGTAGGCAAACATCAGTACCTTGAATATGATGCAAGCAGCTATTGGCAGCCAGTGTAAACTGATGAAGAGAGGTGTGACATGGGCTTTCATCGGCTCGTGAAGAGGGCATTACAATAGTCCAGTCTGGAGAGAACAAGAGCTTGGACAAGGAGTTGTGTGGCCTGCTCTGATAGGAAGGGTCTAATCTTCCTAATGTTGTATAAGGCAAATCTGCAGGACCGGGCCGTTGTAGCAATATGGTCTGTGAAGCTTAACTGCTCACCGATCACAACTCCAAGGTCCCTGGCTGTCCTGGAAGGAGTTATGGTTGGCAAACCTAGCTCTATAGAGAAGTTGTGATGAAGTGCTGGGTAGGCTGAGACCACGAGCAGTTCGGTCTTAGCAAGGTTGAGTTGAAGGTGATGGTCCTTCATCCAGTCAGAAATGTCTGTCAGGCAGGCTGCAATGTGAACCGCTACCATCGGATCATCTGGTTGGAATGAGAAGTAGAGTTGAGTGTCATCAGCAAAACTTGAACCACTGGAGTGTGGTTCCTGAGATGCCCATCTTAATGAGGGTGGACAGGAGGATCTGGTGGTTAACTGTGTCAAAAGCAGCAGACAGATCCAGCAAGATGAGTACTGAGGATTTGGAAGCTGCTCTTGCCAGTCTCAGGGCTTCAGTAACCGAGAGCAGGGCAGTCTCAGTTGAGTGGCTGCTTTTGAAGCCAGATTGGTTGTTGTCCAGGAGGTTGTTCTGTGCAAGAAACATAGAGAGTTGGTTGAACACAACTCACTCAAGTGTTTTTGCAATGAATGGAAGAAGGGTCTGTGGTTTTCTAAAAGTGCTGGATTTAGAGAGGGTTTCTTAAGCAGTGGGGTTACCCGAGCCTGCTTAAATGCTGTGGGAAATGTACCAGTGTGAAGAGAGGTGTTGATTATGTGAGTGAGCGCAGGTATAACTAAAGAAGAAATGGCCTGAAGGAGGTGAGTGGGGATAGGATCAAGCGGACAGGTAGCAGGATGATTGGAAAGAATAAGTTTGGAAACGTCTGCCTCAGAGAGTGGAGAGAATGTGGAAATAGACTGTATTTGTTGTTATGAAGTGTTTGTCAGTTTGTGGTGTGGAGAATTGGCCGCTGATGGTTGTTGTTTTATTGCTAAAGAATATTGCAAAGTCGTTGAAGAAGAGAAGAGAAGAAGTGTGCGAGAGTCAGAACAATTGCTAATTTTGTTGTGGTAGTATGTCGTTTTAGCTGTGGAGACGTTTGCAGAGAAGGAAGAGAGGAGAGACTGAAAACTGAGAGGGTGGAGGAAGTGAGGATGAAACCGTAGAGGATACGAGAGAGGGAGCGTAGGTAATTACAGTAATATAATTCATTTTTGTTGTTGTAATTACTATAATGATGATTATTAATAATAATATTTTATTATTTATAATTAATATTTATACATTTAGTTTTTTTGCCATTTGGGACATGCCTAATGACATACAAAGTTTGAAGTATTGTTTATATTGCAGATGACAACCTGGCCAATGCATTGTAAGTATGTGATCTACTGTACATGGATGTGTACCCCTGGATACCCCTGGATGTGTTATTTTTATTATTGCTATTATTATTATTATGATTGTGGACACGGCCTTTGAGATCGGAAAAACCAGCTGGAATTCAATGTAGTTTAAAGTAAGTCTTAGTCTCTACTCTGCTCTCACTGGCATATCTGGCTTGATTTTCCCTTGATAAAGTGTTCCTGCTGGCTCAGGAGGGGCTGTAGGACAGTCAGCAGATGACTGAAGATAATGCTCCAGCTGCTGCTGGTGTCTGTTGCATAAACCTGTACAGTTCAGGTCCGTTATCAGTCCTCCATGAACTTCAGTCGCAAACGTCACCTCCTTCACATCCTAATGACTGACTCAGATAAACATTAGACCAGTACTAGACCACTTCACAGTCCAGATCCAGTTCTTCTGAGAGAGATCAGACTATCAGTGAAGCTGAAGTCTTCATATTATTTTAACAAACAGATCTTACTCTGCAGTGTTGAGGATATATTGATTTTTGACAGCAGCTCGGCTGTTTTCAAGACTGTAGCAAAAGACAGTGTAACATGACAAAATTAATCACTGCATTTGTTAAGCAAAGACAAATGAAACATGCTCAGCTGGCTGCTCATATTTCCCTCCCTCCATTTGTTCGGTTTCAGGAATCAGTCTGTACATGCGGTTCATTTCACTGCACTGATCTGCTGATTCATGAGAATAATCTCATTTCATGACAAATAGAGTTTTACTCCTGCTTTTATGTTGTAAAATGTTTAGTTACATGATATTAATCACAATTCAGCATTTTTTTTTCTTTTGGATAATGGTGTGCATGTGGGTTAAAGATTAAAGCTGTCAGTCTGAGATAAAAATACATATCTGTTTTTAAAAATGCATATAATCTGACTATTATCTAAAAGATATTGCTCTTTTAAATGGGGTAGATTTAGTTCGCTACTTTAAAAAAAAAAAAAATAGCTCTGTTTGTTTGAGAATTCTGACACAGCATCACTGGCTCAACCAATGGCATGAGATTGGGGCGGGACTGTCTTTTTTTTGACCAATGGCAGATGGGGGAGTGTTCGGGAAACTTGTTTAAAAACAAACTTTATTTGTGCAGTTCCACTTGGTGATTCAGTGGCGGAGGAATCACATACTTCAACTTTAACAGTTCTTTGATGATATTAATGGTTCAATTTTAGAACTATATCTGTCTGAAGAAGAA